TAATGCTTGTTACAGAAGGCTTTTAACAACTTTAAAAAAAGCTGTTAGTTTTCTGCTTTTGCCTTCATATACCTAGCAGTGTTTATCACAACTAATTTGTAAACCAACAACAAGAAATTTCCTAAGGTTGTTTTTCTAAGCTCTACAACTTGAAAACCAAAACACCCGCAATTAACATATATTCAGCTCACTAGAGCAGCGTGAAGCTAAGAGGTGGAATATACTTAATGAAAGTTGTGTCTGTATAAAGAAAAAGGTGTTTGTATAAACAGTTATATATATATATATATAGTAGTATGCACTTTAATGATCGTCTCTTTCCTTTTCAGTAAAGAAGAATGTCCTTGTTTAAAGCTAGAGACTGGTGGTCCACCATACTGGGAGAAAAGGAAGAATTTGACCAAGGCTGCCTGTGTGTTGCTGATGTTGATAACAGTGACAGTGGACAAGGTAAATTCAGAATTGCATGGTCGCTGACTTCTGCGCTACACAGCTGCAACTTGGCATTGACCAATGCATATGGAAAGCTTGTTAGGCAGGCTAGTTGGAGAGTTAGTTGAGTGTGCTATCTTTAATGTGCCCTTGTAGGCTTAAGAAGACAAATTCAGTGCTATTTGTGTATTTCTAAACATCTGAATTCTTGCTTGTGTTTAATAGTAATTTCTGTTATGCCTTAGTTGTGGGAGCAAACACACTTTGTAAGACACTGAAAAAAAAACCCCCACAAAACAAAAAAAGAGAACCAAAACACCTTAAGGAAAAAAATGAAGGTGAGAGCTCATAAGCTAGGAATTTAGAAAAATGAAAAAATGAGCCATTCTGTCTGGAAAATAAGGGGCCTTTGAAAAATGTGACTATGAGTAAACCCTGCTTTTCTATGTGGTCACTAATAATGTGGAATGATCTGTGCTGTCAGGGAGAGTTCTTGTGTGTATGCTTTTTAAATTAATAAATTGGATCTTTATGATACACTCATGCTCATCTTGGAGGTGAGTGTGTGTTGTGGTTTTTTTTTTTTGAGGGCTCAGTAGAGGTGCTTGAGTTTGCTTTCACCACTGCCATACTCTTTTAAAATTATTTTTATTTTGGGTTGTTGCTTTTCCAGAGGATTTGAACAATGTTGAGCTGTTACTGGTTTGGTGCACAGCTTTTTTTCAGTGGAAATTCAATTAATGATTTAGGTTAGAAGATACCTTTGAGTCTAACTGTAAACCTAACATTGCCAAGTCCACTGCTAAACCATGTCCCTGATCACCACATCTTCACATCTTTTAAATACGTCAAGGTGTGGTGACTCTACCACTTCCCTGGGCAGCCTGTTCCAATGCTTGATACCCTGGGGTGGATCCCATCCAGCCCCATAGACTTGTGTGTGTCCAAGTGGTGTAGCAGGTTGCAAAACATTTCCCCTTGGATTATAGGGGCTTCATTCTGCTCCCTATCCTGCAGCTCAGGGGGCTGGGTACCCCAAGAACAGCTGGTTGTCTTATTAAAACTGAGGTCTGCTCCTTTTTCCAGAGGTCATACTCTCCTTTTTTTTCCTGAGTTCCAGCTGAAGCTCTCTGTTCAGTCAGGCCAGTGGTATTCCCCACAGAGGCAGCCTGCTCCTGCGCCTTTAAGATTTCCTTCTTGAAGAATGTCCAGCCTTCCTAGACTCCTTTGTCTTTCAGGACTGCCCCTCCCAAGGGACTCTGTCAACCATTCTGCTAAACTGGCCAAAGTCTGCCCTCTGGAAGTCCAAGGTAGCACTTCTGCCAATTCCTCTCCTTACTTCTCTAATAACAGAAAACTCTATCATTTCATGATCATTTTGCTCAAGACAACCTCCAACCATTGCATCACCCACCAGTCCTTCTCGTTCACAAAAAACAGGTCCAACGAGGCCCCTTTCCTAGTTGTCTCCCTCACCAGCTGTGTCAGGAAGTTACCTTCCACACACTCCAGGAACCTCCTACACTGTTTGCCCTCTGCTGTGTGTTTCCAGCAGACGTGGTAAATTGAAGTACCCCATGAGATCGAGGGCTAGCAATTGTGAGACTTCTCCCAGATGCTTATAGAATATGTTGTATGCCTCCTCATCCTGGTTGGGTGGTCTGTAACATACTCCCACCATGATATCTGCCTTGTTGACCTACCCCCTGATTCTTACCCATAAGCACTCAACCCTATCGTCACCCTCATTAAGCTCTGGACAGTCAATATGCTCCCTAACGTATAGGGCTACCTCACCTCTTCTCCGTCCTTGCCTAGCCCTTCTGAAGAGTTTATACCCATCCACTGCAGCACTCCGGTAGTTTGAGTCCTCACACCATCTTTCTGTGATGGCAGCTATACCATAGTTTTCCCAGCTGCACAATGACTTCCAGTTCTTCCTGCTAGTTGCCCATGCTGTGTGTATTGGTGTAGATGCACTTCAGCTGGGCTACTGATCCTGCCTTTTTTTTTTTTTTTTAAGAAATCCTAATTCCCATGTGACTGCAGGCACTTCTGTGGTTTCTAAGGCATCAGTAACCCTAGAGTCTTTGCTGACATCACCTACCTCCACTGAGGTGGCAGACCAAAGGGCCTCACTCGCACACCATCCCTCAAACGTTGGCATGCCACCCCAGGCTTATCTTTAGCGAGCCTGCTTTTATCCCTTTCCCCCTTCAAATCTAGTTTAAAGCTCTTTCAATGAGCTTTAATTGATAATGTGATTCACATAAAAGCAGGACTTAAAACAGTGTTGTGAGAGTAGTGGTCTGCTGTTTTATTTACTTTCTCAACATGATATTTTCTCTTTATTTTTACGCTAGGTTCTTTTTCTTCCAGAGTTCAGGACCAAAAGGGAATCAGCTTGTTGCAATTGCATAACCACAGGTCAAAATATCCTCACTTAAGTATTTTTAAGGAATTAATAATAGAAATGGATCTAGTTTACTGCTGATGGAATACTTGTTACTGAACTGAGGAGAAGATGAGAGTGGGAAGGCAGTCAGTTTTCTTTGAATGAGGGACTTGGTGCAAGTGTTCGTGTGGCTGGAGGAGAGAGTAAACAGGCAGCTGCTCTGAGCTTTTGACATGGGGTCCTGTGGAACTATGCCAAGCCTTTAGAGCCTGGTGAACTTGCTGTAGGAGTTTTGTATGTTCTCCTGACTTGTGGACAACTGTTATTGGCTTTGATTTTGATCTGCACCGATACGATGGCATGTATCTGAGGAAATTAGTAGTCAACCAACTTGGGTTGCTGGTTGTTATCTTGGGAGGCACCTCTTTAGGGGTTTTTAATTAATAATTTTTTGTCATTCACTAACAACCAAATGACTACTTGCTTAAAATACATCAGAGTTATTTTGGAATCAGTAACTATTGCATTCCTTTTTGAGATAATGGATCTGTCTGAAGAGAAGATGGTCTCAGGGCCTAGCTTTGTTGGCCTGATGTGGTAATTAGCTGGCTTTAGTTTGAATCTGGATAAATGTCATCAGTCCCAGTTTTAAAATTTCACACCTCTGCTGGTGTGTAATATGTGTATGCACTAATCCAAGATGTAGAAGCTGAAAGTTTGAAGTACTCTCCAAAACCAGAATGGGACTTGTTAAGAAGTGTTAACATCAATATAAGATGATGGAATAGTAACAATGGTCAGTGCCATCACTGTGATAATTGCCATATTGAACCCTTTCTTGACAGGTTCATGTGGATTTGCAAAAAAGCTAATTGCTAATATTAACCTAGAAGACAGAGCATAATCAACATTCATTGAATCATGTAAATACTCTTAGGGTATTCTTTGTAGCACTTCTGCAGCAAATTGAATTCCATGTGTGTTGTATTCTGTAGTCTCCTTTGGTTAGTGGCTTCTATCTTTGGTTTTTTGGTAGATAAAATTATTGTGGGAAGTTATATGGGATATCTCCGAATCTTTAATCCACATCCTGTGAAACCTGGAGATGGAATACAACCTGAAGACTTGCTCCTGGAAGTGCAGTTACGAGAACCAATATTGCAGGTGGAAGTGGGAAAATTTGTTTCGTAAGTCAACAGGCTATGTTGCTGTTTATTTAAATCATAGATGTGATTTTCTTTGTTTTGGGGGGTGAGTTTTCAATTTCCAGATGGACAACTATTAAGCATATTTATGAATACTGTAGGATGCATTTGATCTGCTTGAATCATCTTGACATGAGAGGTTTTTTACTTAATATATGTGGAGGATAATCTTAAAAATACTTGTACCATTTTTCTAAAAGTATGTAGAACAGAAAAAAACTTATATTGATTTTTTTTTTTAGGTGTTAAGAAAAACTTGAATAATGTGTTGTAATCTGAGAAGTAATATTGGCCATTTTTGGGGAGTTTGATAGGCGATTGAAGTTTTTTAATTACAATCAAGTTAGTGAAAGTAAGTTGTCAGGTAGAGAAGAAATACTATGACTCTAAGGAAAAAGCCTTGTATTTAATTGGCTGTAAGAGAATCTACTTAGGAGAGCATAATTTTAAAAATGAGGCAGAAAGCCAAATGGATATGAGGATCATCACTCCAAACAAGTATTTTTCAGCAACTGCATAGATTAATTCTTTTTAAATTCATTTTTATACCAGCTGCATGGAACCTAAATTAATTATGCTATAAGGCATAATTCATAAACTTAGAATCCTATATTCACATTCTTCTTCCATTAAATGTGAGTAGTATTTCCTGCAGAGAAAGTTCTTGTGCTGTCGCTATAGAAAATGTTTTAGAACACTTCACAGGGTAAGGCGTTAGAATTCTTGCAAAGGGTCACTCCATGAGTACTTGAACAAAAAAAAAGCAGTTGCCAACTGACATAGGCCTTTCAGCTTGTGGCCTCTGATCTCAGAGCATGTGTCTTTCCTGGGGCTAGTACAGGTTTTTGTATCATATTTAAAGTGAAGTTCATGCTGCAGTATTGGAAATTAATTTCAAAATTATTTAAAAAATGAGTTCTTAAAGGATTCATTTTAAAGTTCTCCTAAGTAGATTCTCTTACAGCCAATTAAATATGTGTTCTTAAGGGATTTGTTTTAATTTGGAAATTAACTTCTAATACTGCAGTATAAATTTAGGAAGATTAGTGCTTCTGAGTTTTTATGCTAGAACCTAACACCCAAACCTTTGGCTTTGTCCCACACCTGAAAGTAATTTCAACAAGTTACTTGAATTTTGTTCAGTATGCATTTTACTTGAAATTTATCTGAAAAGAGGTTTTTTTTTAACTTTCTTTGCAGTGGTACTGAAGGACTTCATCTGGCTGTGTTGCACTGCCGAAAACTCTGTGTATATGCTGTTTCAGGTTAGTTTGCAAATACAGGCTTCCCTGTGATTTTAAGCATATGCTAAAGTTTGAATTAGATGAAATGCTAAACCTGGTGTACACAGCATTTGCTCATCATCCCTGAAGAGCTGCAGTCAGGTTCTCCCACTCAGGCTCGTGTATGAAGAGGAAATGTTAGTAATTCTGTCTGGATATTTCCCAGTGGTTAACCCAGATTTGGTGATCTGCTCAGTGCTTGAGATGCCATGATGCGTGCGATGGTCTGCAGTTGGTAGTGCTTGTGAACAGCTAGTTCTCCTTACCGTGTTAGGAGTGGGTGTTGCTGTTCAGCATGCTAATGAACAAGTGGTTGCTTAATGACAGCTTAGCTCTTTAAAAATGAAATTATTTTAATTAATTCTGAACTCAAAAATCCAGGTAGTTTCTTAGAAAGCCAGAACAATGGCAGTGCAGCCCAAGAGAAGATAGGGAGTTTATACTGGGAAGAAGGTGAAACTGCGGTGTCTTTTCTTAAATCCTCACTTTAAGTGCTGTGCTCTCACTATATGTGAAGAGGCAGGTCACAAAATACCTATTCTGTGCCTTGAATTCTCCCTAATACATGCTTAAGGCAAAGCATAGTTTTAAGAGACCTATTGGTTATACCCCCATCTTCAAAATTCGGTAGCGAACTATGTGTTGTTAATTTTCCCTATGCAGGGGCAGCTGTGACTCCTTTAATTATAAGAGCATGTTTTTTTTTTTTTGTAGGAGAAACCTGCTTCCTATCACAGCCTTGTAGATAGATAGTTTACAAACACATGCTCTCTTTCCAGATTCTGTTTGTCTTCTAGTTATCTTACCCGCAGACACCTGTAAAATTGGTCTTTGTTGAGGGGTGATACTTCTAGATGTACTGCAGTTTTCATGCTTTCCCTTCTCTGTGCTTATGTCTTAGGGTTGTAGCCTACCAGTACAATTTGTATTAAAACAATTTATTTTAAAATTTGTGTTAATAACATACAACAATAAGTCTGTCTAGAATTTTTTTCTAGTTATAATTTGCTGTTTGGTCTATATGGTTTAAGCATTTAAGTAATAATGAAAGTGAAGTTTTACGATCCTTTAATTGACTTTTCATACTAATTTGTAAATATTCACGCTGTAATGGTAATTTCTCTCATGTGAACAGGTACTTTCGAACAAGGTCCTTTGAGAAATAAGGATCATTATTTCTTTATGCTTCCATGGCAAATTATACTTTCATGAAGTGGGACTTTTACTTGCTTTATACATGTTGCTGTATCTGTTATTCATAATACAATATCTATGCTGCTTCAACTTGACAGATGAAAGCATCCTTCAGGGCTGACTGAAGTATGGCCTGGATACTGTATTCCAGTCAGTATAAACATACTGACTACTTTCTAACTTTTTTTCCTATGTTGTTGCTACTTAGCTAGTTACTTTTCCAGCCAGGGCTTTTCCCCTCCTGTCTGTTCCAATCCTTTTCCTAACATGAGCCTGCAGTAGGGGCAATTGCTTTAAAGCTGTATTGGATTTTAGTTGGACAAATTGCCTAATAGTTCAGCATAAGCTACAAATCTTTCATAGCCTCTTGTTTAAGATGGTGTTGGAATAATCTTTGTATACTTAAAGCTGTGGTAGGGTTTAGTTTAGAAATCATTCACTAAAAACATCTTTTCTGTGCTGATGTGACTGTTCTCAAAGGTGTGGGGTTTTTTTTTTCTTGGTAACATAGTCCTTAAGCATTACTCTACATGATGAAGAACTTTATCTTCATGGTGTGCAGGGAAGACTTTTGATTATCAAAAGGGAAGCTTTAGTTTCTTTAGAAAGACTTTTTGAATTTCTGTTAGTTCATTGAAGGCATCAGGAAGCTGAAGTTCAGACCTTTTCAGAGAATGTGATGTATATCGTGAATTTTTTTTTGTTACCATATGTTTGTCTCTTATCTTTGCACTGTTGATTTCAGACAGAGTGAAGGCAAGTCATAAATATGCCCTAATCATAGCTTTCTCAAATTATAGCTAATGAAGAGCTACAGCTTAATTTGAGACAAAGACTATTACAGCTGAGACTGGCAGATGGCAGTATATTTACTGAATAACTCGAGAATCGTAAGGATTTCCCTTTGTGAAGGCTTTTTCTCTGGTATTAGAGGTGTGCCTAACATGAAAAAAAATACAGTTAAGTAACAAAATCTCAGCTTCTTGTTATGTCTTTATACCATATAATGACACCTAAATTCTGGTACTGGTCTTCAGGAATTTTTGTAGCTTAGTGAGAGCCTTCATATCACAAAGTCATTAGGAGCAAGTTGTAGTTTTTTAGGTTGTTTAAACTGATAGACCTTTACTACTTCCACACTGCATGGATCAAAAATATAAATATATACCCTTTGTTTTTTTGTAGGAACCCTGGGAAATGTGGAACATGGGAACCAGTATCAGATTAAACTGATGTATGAGCACAATCTTCAGAGAACTGCTTGTAATATGACGTATGGGCCATTTGGTGGTGTAAAAGGTAAGCTCCATATTGCATATTCTTTATTATTAGTTGTTCCACTGTGAACAGTTGAGAAGTAACTTAAATTTTGAAAGGCAACGTGATGCTGCTCTCCAGATGAATCCATCTTTCTGTCAATGATGGTACCTTTTGTCTGATGCATATAAAAAAATAACTGAAGTTAAAATGAGGTAAAGAATATTAAACGCAGAATAGCTGTTTCCTTACATCTTGCACTGGATATGAATTTACAAGGATAATATTGATTTTGAAAAAAAA